GATGCTGCAGATCTCATCCACAACGCTGCAGGACCTCCTGTGCACCTCACCCCTCTTCTTTCTTTGGCAAACAGGTTCACGGGGTTAATTCACAGCTTCAGGACCTGCCTGTGGCTGCCCCTCCCTGGCCACTCTTGGGAGATGAGACAGGTAAGGACATAGAGGAAGGAGATGGAGCTTCTGCTCCTCCAAACCCCACGGAGCCCTCTGCCACCAGCTCAGGAGTCCTGCTCCATGCCCAGGGCTGGCACCTGCAGAGCTGTGCCCCGTGCTCCCATCCCCAGCCTGCAGTGGATGGCAGCACTTGGCACCCAGCCACCAAAGCAAGGTGACAGCCACATTGTCCCTGGCCATGCACGGTGAGCTGGCACCCACCAGCACCCAGGGACACGAGGAACAGGCAATGCAATACCCCCTGGGCTCTGGTGACCTGGCACAGAGGGCTGTGCCACTTTATTCCCCCTCAGGGTAGGAACATGAGCTGCATGAAGCCACTGCCAGGTGCATTTTAAATGGCACGGGGTGTGAGGGGTGATGTTAGCTCTGGGGATGTGCTGAGGTGGCAGCTTGGTGCCAAATACCCGTGAGAGCTGAGCCCCTTCCCACTCTTCACAACAGTCCTCAGACTTTCTGCCAGCTTCAAAAACTTCTCTGGATGCTCTCGCTCTAGAGTCCTCCCAAAGGACCTGCCCCTGGCACCCTCTGGTGCTGCCACCCCCACAGCACCCTGCCAGTGATGGGACCAAGCCATGACATTAATTCCCCCTTGTTTGGGCAAAGCAGAAAGGGGCTTGTGTCTTCTGACCTGCCTCAGCTGGGGTTACAGCCACAGCCAGGAGAAAAACAGGCGCTAGGAAAAGGCAGTGCTAGAAGGAAGGGTAAGATCTATTAAAAAAGCTTTGGGCTGCTGGCTATCTGACCACAAAAAGACTAAAAATCTGCTCATTTCTGAGCCCACCCGTATTTCAGAACTGCTAAAAGGCCAGATTCTTCTCATAAAAATCCAGAAAAAAGTTTAAAATCCATTCATATCACCACCCTCACCTCCAAGAAACCTTTAAAAAAAGAAAAGAGCCACAGGTGGGCTGAGGCAGGAAGGAAAAGGGGTGGGCAGGGCTGGCTCCTGCCCCCATCACACACCCGGGGACACCCCAGGATGAGGGGGTGCTGCTGGGTGCCCCCAGGCTGCACCTCAGCCTCCTGCTCCCCCACGACATGTGCCAGCGAGCGCAGCGGGCTGGGGCCAAGGGACCTGGGAACACGGACACCCCAAAATTCTCCTCTCCCTTTGCTGGGTGGGATTTTAGCATCCAGCACCCAGGGGTCTGGCCGTGTCCATCCTGCTCCTGGCAAGGGCAACGTCCGTGCTGCCCGGCTGTGCCCGAGCCCCAGGGTGGGGACATAAAGCTTTGGGGTCACTCTAAGCTGGTATGTGACACACAGACTCTGCTGCTGAGGCCTGGCATTAGGAAAGGGGCATCCCGTGGGCGGGGGGATGACGTGCAGGTTAAAATGAAACCCATCCTCCCCGCTGCTAGAATCTGCCTAATCCCAGCCCCGGGAGCGAGGGAAGCCATGGCATAAGGAGAGTGCAGATGTGGAGTCAGGGCTGGGCTCCACGGGGACCTGCTAGGACAAAGGTGGAGCACTGGGCTGGAAAAAGCAGAGAGGTGGCTGGTGCTCACTCCAAAGCCCACTCTGCCAGCCACTGCTGGCACCGGGCTCGCTGCTCCTCCGTCTCCGGGCTCTCGGCTTCGCTCCGCGCCTCCTCCCCTCCAGCACCCAGCACAGCCTCCTGCCTCTCCTCCTCCTCCTCCCCCTTCTGCAGCACCTTGTCCTTCAGCTCTTGGATGGTGTCATCCAGCCCGTGGACGACGTGGTGGGGCACCCAGTTGCCATCCATGGCCGTGAGGAAGGGGTCGGGGGCGCAGACCTCGACGAGCTCCTTGCGGGTGGGGATGCGCAGGTAGTAGGCGTGGAGCATCATCCTGTAGGGGCTGCTGTCCTTCCTGTGGCTGTAGGTGAAGTCCCCCACGATGGGGTGGCCGATGGCACTGCAGTGAACCCGCAGCTGATGAGTCCGTCCTGTGGGACAGAGGGGAGCAGGGGAGTTGGGGGGACACGGGGGGAATTGGGGACACGGAATCCCTCCTTGAGGGGTGGTGTGAGGTGGGGCAGATGCAGCTGCCCTGGTAAAGACCTGACAAAGACCAGGGCTTGACAAAGGCCTGATAAATCTGGAAGCTTTGTGGCTGTTAAAATTTGGTCCCTTTGTTTCAGGACTTTGCCCACCACTAATGAGACTGATCACAGATTGGACTCAGCAGGGTATAATCTCCCTGCTGGAGAGTGGATCTGAAACCCCTTGGAGCAAGTGGGTTTGATTGTCTTGGACTCCCCCCTTGGATGGGGACACTGCCCAAGGGAAGTTCCCAGGACTGAGTGAGCCCTCCCACCAATAATTAGACTGATCACAGGTTGGACTCAGCAGGGTATAAACAGAGCCCCACTGGAGAGTGCATCTGAAACCCCTTGGAGCAAGTGGATTTGTCTTGGACTCCCCCCTTGGATCAGGACACTGCCCAAGGAAAGTTCCCAGGACTGAGTGAGCCCTCCCCCCTGTTTTGGTGAGTGAATATTGCTTCTGGATATATCACCTTGAGTAGACTGATCACAGGTTGGACTCAGCAGGGTATAAACAGAGCCCCACTGGAGAGTGCATCTGAAACCCCTTGGAGCAAGTGGATTTGTCTTGGACTCCCCCCTTGGATCAGGACACTGCCCAAGGAAAGTTCCCAGGACTGAGTGAGCCCTCCCCCCTGTTTTGGTGAGTGAATATTGCTTCTGGATATATCACCTTGAGTGACCCCCTTTGGGTACTCTCCAGTGGGAGGTTCTCCCTTTTATGAGGGAGTGTGCCCACACTTTGGTTCATCTTTCTCAAGACACCATTCCTAAGTGAAGGAATGAGTTGTGCAGGGGTACATTCCCACCTGGCATCCCAGCTTGTCATTCTCTTTGGTCTTTTGGGAGTTCTGGGTCATTTTGGCTGCAATAAATCCACATTTTGGGGAGCTACTGCTGTCCAATCTGTGGGTGCCCCACAATGGAGGTGACAACTCACCCCATGGCTTTGGTCCAGAGAACTGGAGCCATCCATGAGCTGAGTGCAGCTCTTGGCTTTGCTCAGCCCTTTACCTTGGATGCCACCACCCTGCAGCCAGGGCTGCAAGCTCAGGTCCCTCTGCAGCACCTCTGTGCCTCCCTCACCCACCCAGCCTCACCCCCCTGTGCTGCTGGGGACACCCCAGCCCCACCCCAGCCCCCAGCACCCACCTGTCAGGGGCTGCAGCAGCACCTTGGTGACGGGGTCTCCGCTGTAGGAGCCGTGCTCCAGCACAATCAGCTCCG